TTTTGGGTTTTTCTAATGTTGATTAGAATGATGAGTACAAAATTGTATATTACTAAAGTTTTCCATGGTCTAAGGTTTTATCTGCATATTAGTCCAACGAATTCTAATTTTGCATTTATGATGGCCACAACTATAATCCGTTAATGAAGTGAGCCTCTCTATCCCCATTAATCGGTGTCCGTTAAAGAATCTCATGTGCAACAAACACAACTTATTCAAGACGAAGGTTGTGGAAGTTTTACAAAACTTGATTTCTGAACCTTCTTCTTCAATTGGCTTATATAGGGCCATGAAGAGCTTGATGCTGCTAGCTTACGTGAACATGAAGAGTTCACCAAAGTTAAAAATATTGTGACTATAGAACTTGGAAGGTACGAGATTGAAACATGGTACTTCTCCCCCTTCCCACCAGAATACAGTAACTCCCCGAATCTATACTTTTGTGAGTTTTATATGAATTTCATGAAGCGCAAAGAACAACTTCAGAGACATATGGTGACTTATGTTACAATTTCTTCCATTTTTTAATTGTGAATATCTAAGGGGTCGTTTACCTAAATGCTTACCCAGTAAGTGCTTACTGTTAGGAGCCAACATTATAATTTATTTTACCAGGTAAGATTGTAGTACATCAAAATGGTATCGTAATGCAACAATTTACCCGGTAATCACTTACCCGAGTAAGAGTCATCACCCTCACTTACCAAGTAAGGGGCCGTTTACCAAACACTTACCCGGTAAGTGCTTACCGGCAAAAAATAACACTATCATTTACTTACCAGGTAATATTTTAGTCCATCAAAACGGCATCGTATATTCGTATGCAACAATTTAACCGGTAAACAATTACCGTGGTAAGAGTCTTTGCCCTCACTTACCGGGTAAGACTCTTGGTCCTTGTCTTGCTCTTACCGGATAAGATTCTTGGTCTTTACCATATTAATCCGATAATGTAATTTGATTTAGTAAGCGCTAACTCGAGTAAACATTTGGTAAAGGACCCCTAAATCATGATATGCCATGTTTGTGAAGGAAAGAGTGTTTGGTAATAACAAATTTGACCATAAAGTTCTAAAATTACTAAGGTGTAAATGTCACATGAAATGGAGTTGTATTATTTGATCTTTGTAATGCAACCTATGGCTATTGGCTCTTCTTTAACCATCTTATTCTGTCATAATGTCTTGGAAAGTTTCTTAGTTTTCCAATGATATTTAAATAGGGTATGGCACCCCTATGTTTCTTTGTTCCTTTGGTGCATCTTACGTCTCCCTTGCAATGGTGCATCTTACGTCTCCCTTGCAATGGTTTTCTTAACAGATGGGAGAGAAATTCCCACATACCATATAAGGAGTCAAAATTGGCCATGCTTCTTCAATATTCCTTAAGTGGTCATAGAAGAGTATTCGTAAGTCTTATATCTGAGTTTCAATTTATCGAAAAAGCATGTCCCGTCGTCTGACCATAAAATTCATTGAGAAAGTATTATTTGCCCTTCTATTGGTGGTATGAAGGTATTCTATTATTCATCCAGTTCTTTTGTATTTGTGTGATGTGTAAACCTAGAAGATGGTCAAGTCAAGCTACAGTCAAGACTGGAGGAAGAAGAAGAAGCTAAAGCTGCTTTGTTAAGCCAAATACRGAGATTGACAAAGAGGACATTCCTTTGGGGAAGAAGAGGTCAGGTTGCATTAACTGTTGTTTTCCTCTTCTTGTTTCTTTGAGTTTGTGATATTGCATTTAGTTGTATATGCAAATATTCTAATATAATTCTTTATATTTGTTTCAAGCATATATATGTAATTGTATACTAAGAGGCCATTTACTAAACACTTACCGGTAAGTGCTTACTGGATAAATTTCTTCATTGGATGAACATAAGAATTATATTAAGATTTTTACCGGATAAGAGCGATGAGAAGGATGAAGAGTCTTACCTGTTAAGTGAGGATGACTACTCTTACCCAGGTAAGCGCTTACCCAGTAAATTGTTGCATTCGATATGTTTTGATATACTAAAATCTTACGTATCAAAATTAATCATAGTGTTGACTTCTATCGGTAAGCGCTTACCGGGTAAGAATTGGTGGACGACCCTAAGTTTATTATTCATCTGGTTGAACCGACATCATATTTGGAGGTATTTATCYTTGATGCGTTTGAGTACTAAACTGAGATTAAATTGATCAACTTGTGACTGGCAGGGGATTTTGTTTCTCAAGTAAATTGTGATGAGAAGGATATTGAAATCTGAAGACGATTTTGCTATGCTATATGGATGGAGTTGTACATGATACAACRAATTCAAGATGCGGTAGAGAGGTAAGGGTACAAAAGCATAACACATCATCAAGTAGTTCTTTAATACCAACAAATCGTTGTGCCAAACTGCAGGTTGAAGTTGCGGTCTCAAGCTGATAAATACCACTTAGATGCTTCTTGTAATTTACTCTTTGATTATTTAAGGGTCAATACAATACTCTTTGAAGTTACTCTTTGATAAATACCACATGGATGGTTATTTAAATCAAACGTAGGTACAAATGTTGTAGGCTTATGACATCGTGAAAGAATTTGATATTTTAAAATTGAATAAATCTTAATAAACTTTCTATCAARTATTTGTGTCTTCTCTGCCTCAAAGGACCTCCACTGAAGTAATGTTTTGTACACAGTGCAAGCTGCAACAGATCTGGTCTTGTCAAATTGCTTGTCTTCTAGCAGATACTTGATCAGTACATCATGGTTCTCCTGCTTGTGGGAAAGAACGAACAGGAAAGAATAGCAGTTGGGCAATCAAAAATATTAGTTCAAATCGCTGACAAAAGGTCTAGATCTCATTTCATTTTATTTTTAGGTTCCATATATCTGGTGTTGGAAGAAATGATGATATGATTTTGYTCCCATTTGCTTGATGTGAGGAGAAACGGATGGGACCAACAATTTGACAAAGGAGAAGGGAGGACCATGCACAAAAGAAATGGAACCCTGAATTTTGAATGCATACCTGCTGTCTGTCTGTTAGTGATTTTTGTTTAGTTAGGAAGGATACATCATTGCTGGACTCCTAAAAAAGAGAATTTGTTCATCGTTATAACAATACATCAAATCCTTAAATTTCTTTTACTATTATTCCGAGAGATCTTCTGTGAGAAGGGTGGACATACTTTTGTCTTTTCTTGCTCTGCATCGGGTGAATCCGTTGTATGTTGMTGTTCATGTTTATGTTGTGTAATTGTTTTGGATTGCTTCATGATTCATGTTCTCCTCGAAAATGAAGTTCATGCGATTTGTAAAACACTAAGCATGATGCCTATTTCTAAGTTCATGTTATATGTATTAATATGTAAAAAAAACTAAGAGCAAATCATACCACTTGTTAAGCGCTGCTGCTATTTTGCCATATTCTTTTGACTGATCAGTGTTTCAGTTGAATTTTTTTCTGCTAATATCATCGATGGTCGGCAAGTATGATGGTCCTAATGAYGATCCTACATGTATTTCGTGTATATCTCAYCRGTGGATTTAAAAAACCTCGYGAATTAACTTGGGTTATCCAAGATCYCCCCATCTCCATCTTGATTTRGGATTTTGTGCTTGGTTACCATATTGTTGCTGCATTTATATTATTTATGTTGGCACATAAACATGGTTTATTCAAATCAGGTTGAGAAACAACTATCTTGTATTTCTCAAGGTGTGAATGACTACCTGATAACTAAAAAATGGATCTTGAAAAGAAATGCTTTTGAACAATCAAGAATCATATTGTTAGCTCTAACCTGCTAAATGGTTTTGTTTGATATTTGAGTGGTTTCTAATTGCTTATAACAATCAAGAGTCATAATGTTAGCTTTAACCTGCTTAATAGTTGTGTTTGATATTTGAATGGTTTCTAATTGCTGATGAAGCAATCAAAATGATAATGTTAGCTTAATGGATGTTTTTTATACTTACCCGTTAAGCGCTTACCGATAAAATTCAACACTATTACTTGCTTACTGGGTAAGATTTTAGTCAACTAAAACAACACCGTATKCAATAATTTACCCGATAAGCTCTACCGTGGTAAGAGTTGTCGCATTCACTTACCGGGTAAGACTYTTGTTTCTTGTCTCGCTTTTACCGGGTAAAATTCTTGGTTCTTGTCATATTCATCCGGTAAGGTAATATGACTTGGTAAACGCTTACCCGGGTAAGCGTTTGGTAAATGGTCCCTAAGAGTTGCAGGGAGCACTTTTGAATAAGTTAATTTGCATCCGGGATCACTGAATGTCGGGGTCATRGGGGTCGTGCCCCCTTACGAGGTGCAGTGGTCAGAAGCTTCAAAACCTAAACGGTATGTATCAAAAACTGTCAATAACTACTTACCTAAACCAAGTGTAACTTATATCATCGTTAAATCTTCTCTAATAAAACCAGTGAAACTTCAAAATCGTTAAAATTCACGGC